AAACCAAGTCATTGAGAATAATTAACAGCCAAGGTTGGACGTGAAATTATTGGCAAATACTACTAATAATAATAATAATAACAACTTTATTTAGTGAGGGTAGCACTTAATAGTGCAAAGCACTAATAAACTTGTGGCCCTCAATCTATACATTAATTTACATATGGAATAATAATCTAAAAATAAGTTACTTATACTAATTACATGAAATATTATTTAAAAAATTAAGAATATAGCAAACATGATATGATATATAAAAAGCTGAATATAAAAATATATATAATGAATATGAATTAATAGTCAAAACGATGTAAAAGTAATTGATCTTTAAAATACTTATGGCGTATAGCACTTCTAAAAGATTTCAAAGTAGCTTGTTTTTTTAAGTCGGGTAATAATCGATTCCATTGTTCAATAGAAGTTACCAAAAAAGTCTTTCCACCTTCAGTTATTCTATTGTAACGAGGCGTAATGAAATTACATGCAGAGAATCTTGTATTCCTAGAATGCACAGAATTGTTAAGTTTGAGAGCATCAATTAGATAATCAGGCACTAGTAATTGAGTTCTTTTAAATAATAAAGTACATTTGGATATTAGCGTTTCTGTGTAGAAAGGCAGCCATTTTAAAGTATTGAATAGAGGTGCAGAACGAGTTTGTGAGTCTTTGTTCATTATTACACGAACTGCTCTTTTCTGCAGTCTGAACATTCTTGAGATAGAGTCCTTACAACACCTGGATTGCCAGACAATACTTGCATAATTAAATAATGGTTTTATCATCGCGTTATAATACAAAATTCAACGGAGTCACCTTAGCAGTTTTCCAGCGCATAGGGAACGCAGAAAATTCAATGGAGTAGTTCATTAGCTTTGTGACCGAAGATGCGATAACAGGAGCCGCAGACTTCAAAATACACGCACTAAATTTGTCAATGCCCATCGCTTTCTTGGGATTCAAGCTCAGAAAACTGTCGCTACGCTCGTGTTCCTAAGCTTGCTTCTCTCGTGTTTTTCGAACTCCCACCGTGTTTAGACTGTTTATATCAGAGGACAGAGACACGCGCGCCGTTTTATATTTCTTAAATAGAAAGTAGAAGCCAATGGCTACCTACCAGCATCGATGATCTTTGCATCACTCGTCATATCTTCGTTCTCCCTAATATTAGCAGCAAAGTTTAAGGCAGTAATGCCAAAAACAACTAGCAGATATAGTAGACTAGACTTCATCTTCATTAAAGCGCTACAGTATCTACTGACGAAAAAGCTCCTACGCAGTTCGCCTATATAGTTTGAAAAAGAGTGACGCTATAATAACTAATGACGCGCAACAAAATAGATTAGAGTACTTTTTCACTGGACTGTAAAATTGTTAGAGTGCTTCTCATAAAATCGTGAAACAAAAAGTAATAGTAAAATTTTAATGTAGCTTGATACATCTAAAATAAACGTGCAAAATAAAGAGTAAAAAAAAAAAAAGATTTAGTACGACTAAATGCGTTCCATCAGTGAAACAGAGCAAAACCAATGCACCTAGAGCTTACAAAGGCGTTATATACAAGCATAATGATATTTCACAGGTTTTTGACTCCACGCAACTTAGCTTAGCTTGAAGTATATAAAAGTCTTGAAAGAGCCATTACACTTGTACACGTAAGTACTCTTTAGTTGCATCATCGTTTTCTTTTGTGTCCATCTAATTATCATAATTTGATATTCAAATTTTCTTTCAGGACCAGGATGGTGTCTTCACTCTACTCGATTTTTCGGATGGTTAAAAAGTGGTTAATAAATGTGTATTTTTGGCAATTCTTTCTCTGACTGTTTGATAATATCTCGTAGGTGTTTCTTTATGAAAGTGTGCTTTAAAAGTGTGTTTTGTTTTAAGTTATGATGTGTGAATACACGCAAGCCCTGTTAAACTCCTTGCTTCATACAAGTTAGAGTTAGATTTTAATTGGAAGGCATGTTTCTTTATCACTTTTCTACATTTGAACTATGATTATTTATACATAATAATAGTAATAAAAATAACATTAGATACATTGTTTAAGCATGAGTGATCGATTGTTGATGCATATAAAGCATGTGTGGGTTTGTTTTTAAGATGGTCGCGAAAACGCTCTACTGGTTCCCCTGTGTTTTAATTACTAAGTAGTGGTGATGTATGATGGCACGCAGAGTTTAAAAACCGGTTTAAATTATGTCTGCGATATGATGAATTGTGGCTCGTATTTGCACAATTCCTCACTCTTCTGTCCGCTAACAATTTTTTCTGGTTGTAATGTCGAAAATATTTATTTACGTATAGGTTCGAGTCTACAGTTCTTACCTGAAGGCATTATGGCCGGCATTAATTATTAATTAGCGTCATTGATATTGATCCTGACTCTGTTAAAGCTACAAAGGCGGTGACTATTTGAATAAATGGAAAAATCAAAACTTCAGTTGGCATACAAATCATTGTTAAATTTCCGAGCTAAATACTGAATAGATTGGTAAATTTAGCACTGACTATTTGCTTTAATTTACTAAAACAAAAAATATATTAAATGTCATTGGTTTTGTCAACTGACGTGCCTTTTTATCTTTTCGGTTTGTATCCTGGCCTTTTTTATTTGGCTAAGAAAAATCCATGGTTAGATATACAGTTTAATGACATCATTTTCTGTTGCATTGTTTTAGACGACCAGATAGATGTGATTCCAATTGACGCAAAAGTGTGGGATCCAAAACCAAACAATTGTAATTGGCAGGGTTTAAATTTGTTATAAAATGTGCAAGCTTGCAATARGCAAGTGTTATAACTATGAATATTATGCTTACCACGCCTTCTACAAGTTAAGTTTGACTATTTCACACTCCATAAATGGGAGCTGTACTAACGGTAATATTTGAGCATTCCACTACGTGTAATCATTATCTAATGAGAACGATTGGAGCAGTGCATTTCTGTTAGCATAAAACGTGCATAGCGTTTGTGTCTAGTGGAAATACAAGTCCACGTTCTGAGATGTTAGTTYTTTGGYGATCCTTTTTACTCGGCCAGTTTACTCGATAATTACTCGTAGGTGTTTGCTTGTTATGCAACGACACATTTTGAAGTGTTTTCAATAGTTGTGGCTCATAAGGGCACGCAAAGATCATAATTTATCGGTTTAAGGTGTTAGAAAAGTTTTCCAGTGGCAATTCCTAACAGTTCCATACTTCTCCGTTAAAGTATAGTTAATATAGTGGTATGGTTTGGAAGCCTTTTGTATGTTGTTCTTCTTTTTTACATCTTTTGTATGTATTTTGAGATTGAATCAGTCACGAACGTGCACAAAGTGTTTATATCAAGTTCGGTCTTCGTAAACCAGTGTGGAAAAACGCAGAAGATCTATACTTTGTAATATAAAAGATGAAAAATAAGGTTTCAAATGTTTTTTATTATTATCTTTGTTTAACAGATTACTGTTTTGAACTAAAAGCTTATGATTGCTTCATGAAATACATTGAAATTATCAATTAATTGATTGCATTCCATTCTTCCATGGCAAACACCTTTAATCTTATCCATGATGGACGCAATATCTGTAGCATCGAGGTTTACCTCTGCAACGCCTGTAACGACGACAGCAACGGCGATGTCTACACCGATAGCAACGATAACGATAACTGCAGCGCCCTCTTGGGTAGTAGCACCGATGGTGCCAGTGCCTGCAACTGGGGCGGCGGCGRCGACGACGACGACGACGACGACTCCACCAGCCTGGATCTACCGAGATGTAAATTARAAGCAGTTTATTATATTAGGTAAGGTTGGTATGGTCGATATCCGAGTCTTACATCAGTAAATAATGCCTTATGGTGAATTTTGTTTTTGCATTTTTGAATAGTATAAGGCAAAGAATGATATTCATCTTGCAAGGTTTTCACTCTACATGTGTTATTATTACATTTTATGATCATGTAAAACAGAGTTCTTTCTCTTTGGAGCCGATGCATCGTAGTTCATTATTTTTTTAAAGATAAACAAAAATGAGTTTCATAAAATATTGAACTTACCACGCCGTGGTTTTTTAAAATTCTCCTCAATTGTATCCATAGCCATCGCGGGTTYCTCATCTAAAAATAAGAGAAKTCAAAGAACATCAAATATTACAGAAAAATTGAACTAAGATTAATGTTTTACATGCTTGTCTTACACGCTGAATGCTYCAAGGTAAATGMGTCAAGGTAAATCAATAATAATAKGGGCACTTGGCACCTTTAGAGTAATGGCTAGGATAAGGATCAAGRGAAATAAGATTGTAAAATTGGAAATTGTCACCACTCGAGTCCCAAACTACAAGGGCGTATACCAGCACATTCTTTGTTATATTACAATAATATTTTACAAGTAGTATTTACAATCTTTTGAGGTTTTTTATTTGCAAGTTTGAACGTCGATTTAATAGTACACAACACAAATAATAAGAGCCAAAGAAAGCATCAAGTGTTTCGAAATGTATAAAGCGATGCATATTTTGAACTTACCACTTAGTGAGCTATCATCTTCATCATTTTCGACTGTGGCCACGTCATTCTTGGCAGGTTTCTCTGCACGCAAAAAGTTCAAAATAAATTAGGTAGTAGATATTATTATCAAACTAGACTTTGATGAAATGCAATCATTATTGTCTTAAATGGTGAGCAACTAAAAAGATTAAAAAAAAAATACAAAAGTGTTTGCTGATTTAATGAGTCAGCTTTCCATTGTACGGTCGTACTATTTTGTTTGTTTAAAAAAAACTAGACGAATATTACGTACCAATATCTTCTTCGATAGCCTTTGGATCAATTTCGTCTTCGTTCTCCTCTTCAGCTGAAGGAACAGCAAAGGCGAAAGTAACAAAGCCAAAAACGAGCAGCAAAAGCAGACCGTACTTCATCTTGATGTTAGCAAGTTCTTGCTAGATTGTTTAATGTCGAAACAACCCCTCCTTTTATAGCTCTCCAACTATGAATAATACAAAAGCGTTCTATATTTATATCTCGTACAATATCAGTTTTGTTTAAAGCACTAATGCTTTATTATACTGTGGCACTTGAGCCACAAAAATAATTAAGCTCCGAGTTGGTAAATGGCACGGAATCTGAAATCTGGAATCTTATAAAATTTTGGCTCTGGAATTCGGAATCCAGACTCTAGGAATCCGTTATCAGCGGCAATGGGAACGGAATACGATAAAACATTGGAATTGAAAATCTAAATTAGTGACTTCAATTGTTCATTATCCTAATTGTAAACGAGTCAATGACCATAAAAATAGTTAGGATGTTTTTGCGTTCTATTCAATAAGTTCATTTTAAATTTTGGTCACACGGATTTGATATCATGTGTATATGAGTACTTATGATAATTCGATAAAAGAAACCGGTCGGAATAATGACAATTCCTAATTGGACTATCTGAATTTAAAATATGGTGAAATCCAGGATCCTTTGCAAATTCTTTTATGGAATCCATGGAATGATCATTTAGTAACAAGTGATTGATTGATTCTATATATCATTTCCATTAAATGATTCGTAAGTAGATAAAAAAGAAATAACTAAAGGTCCTGACAAAAAAAAATCACTATGAACCACAGCAAAACAATGATCTACGTTGAATATGATTAACCTGTCAACACGGTATCAATTACACTTTATATACTACTCTTGGACTTAGTGAGTTTGGAGCACGTGCTATATGTGACCCAATTTGTTGCTMTCTTTGAACGAATAAACTTTTCAGTGGTGCTGGACCCGTGTTTTCAACAATCTATTACATGTTTTATCATACTATGTCTTCAAGCGATTATGTAATTTTGTTTAATGTCATATAATTATCTATGAACAAAGCAAATTAGTGTTTTAAATGACTTTTATTTACCTAAAATCATGTAAAATGTATACAGATACCACGAATGTGTTATTTATACCCCAGTGAAAATAACAACATTACGATATGGAGAAACGTAGGTATTTCATGGATAATTATATGATAAATGATAATTACTCGTATAGGTGTTTGTCTAGGCAACGCTACATTTTTAAGTGTTTACAAATAGTTAATGTGAAGCGACGCCAGACGCCATTTTGTGCAGAAAAGCAAGATGGTGTAGCCTTTAACACTCGAAATTATCAGAGACATTTTCTTAGTAGAAACAGTACTAAACTACTTCTATTTGTGCTAAGAAAAAGCGACAACTCCTAAGGAGGAATGTTGTAGAGGAAATAAAAAAAGGAGCAGACTACAACTACCATCATGCTTTCAGATTACGCAAAATGACGTCGATTCACATTGCATATTGGTGATGTATTATAACTGCACGCAAAGTGAGCCATATCATTTTTTTGGTTGAACTTCAGATTCAACAAATTGATCGGAGTTTATGCAAGGGATAACAAACAAAGATTTTTTTAATTTGTATGCTTTACTCTGATTATATGCACATCAATTAAAAAAAAATTGTCCATAAAGATATAGAACTATTTAACTTAAACCTAGACCAATGACTTTAAAATGATGTTTCACTTAAGTACAAGGGAATTCAAAACAAAAACAAAAAACAAAAACAAAAACAAAACCAATGAAGATCCCTCAGGCGGAAGCCTATTTTTCACCTTTTTAATCAATGAATTTTCACTAAAGTAAAACAACGTTTTTAATCTGAAGTGCATGAAGAAAGACAAAACAAAAAAGACGATTTGAAACGATTCACAAGAAGAGAAAATAACCCAAAATCATTCMACACGTACTTCCAAATAAGGTAGGATTACTATATATGGCTGCTAAACGAAGGACAATACTTTGATATGCGTGTTTCAATTCTTTGTTAGAAGCACACGGAATTTTTTGATGACACGTGAAAGGTTTTGAATCATCAACCTTCAAAGTCAAGTGCAATATTTCACAAGTACTATCTTTAAATAATTTAAGAATACATTACTTTGGAAATTATAGTATACATGAAAAACTATATAAATCGTACAAAAAAGAAAAGAATTAAATGCATCGGATTTTAATAAAAAGCATTTTAGGCAAAACCTATATGTACAACACATTAACTACATTAAATGCCGAGCAGTCTAGTCTGTGTTTTTTTTTTGTTTTTTTTGTTTTGTTGTTGTTGTTGTGTTTTGTTGTTGTTGTTGTGGGTTTTTTTTATACAAAAGAAAAAGAAAAAAATGATAAAAATTAAAAAAAGCCCAGAGGTCTAGTCTTGGACATCTTGCTAGTTAACCTTCAGTCAAGCAAAATCCTGTGAGGCGTGATCAGTCGCCGTCGTCGTCTCCAAAAGCCTATAACAAGAGGGTGTATTGGAAATCAATAATCAGCTATTTAATTAATCTAGTGTCTATGTGGTCCTTATAGGTGAAGTTATCTTTCTTTCCTCTGTTAGGCTGTTCCTTGATTTTTCTTTTCTTTTTTCTTTTTTAATTTTTTTTCTTAATGATCAAAAGCTAAAATAACAATAACCATGACAGCAACCAAAACAACAACGCTCCGGCTCACCAAAAAGAATTTTAATTTTTCTATTATTTTTTTCAATTTTAAAAACAAACATGTTTATTCAAAAATTGCAACTTTTGTCTCTGTTTAATTTTATTAAGTTTAAAGAAAATATACAGTCGTTTCTCTCTGAAGTGGATATCAGATGAGAGGTCAGAATGTTAGACTAACAGATTGTACTTACCTTTGCGACGTAATTTAACACCTTTCTGAGTTTCAGCATCCACAACTTTAGGTTGGTCTGCAAAGAAGAAAAACTAAAATGTCTTGAAAGCAGTCTAAAAATGCTTATAATTTTATTGCTTCTAAATTAAACCCTGGTACACGCTCTTTGGAAGGAACTTATCAGTAATATCACGAAAAGTGGCAATCTTTAAAAGAAAAAAAGAGGTCGATGAAATCCGGCACTGGCGATGGGATCAAAGTTGATGATAAAACAAAATATCATTATCCATCGCCAATACTCCAGTTTCGAGTTCATAGCGAATATCCGCTGCTTTATTTGACAACAGATTCTCTTGCGCAAAGACTTTRCAAACACAAAAGAGCGCACGAGAAAATGTCGTTATTACAATAGACTTGAAAATTTGCATTTTCCCCGAGTTGAGATTATCCCTGTATTCCCATAAGACCTAAGGTATGAGCAGGGTTAGCCTAAACTCGGGGAAAATGTAGATTCTTAGCGCTCTATTGTATTAACAACATTTTCTCGTGCT